GTAAAATTTTAAAAATAAATTAAAAAATGTAGAATAAGTGTAGCATTATACATGGTTTCTATTACTAATATTTATAAAAACGGAATACATTTGTAAACAAATACAATGTCTCTGTGTATGTATATGTTAATTGGAGTAATACTATGTGTAGTCACCTAGATTAACTTGCTATCTTGTTTCAAACTGCCTCTAACCCCTACTAGCAGCTAGCCTCCCCCTTCTCCTCTTCCCTTTCCAGCTCCCCCAAGGAGACCTTGACCCTTCCAGAGGTCTGCAAACTCAGCCTGCCCAATTAGCAAGAAATGCAAACGATCTCCTAAGACCTTGAATTAGCACCTGCAACTGTGCTGGTCCCCCACCCTCATTACCCCGCCAAACTGATAAGAATGTACAAGCTAGAATACCCTCCCCTTGAGCCAGCCCTCTATTTTGAACTATAAGAATTTTGGAATTTCTTTGGATCAAGAAGTTTCCAGGTACTAGCCTACCCTTGGTTCAGCTGTTTAATAAAGGCTTTACTTATTAATATCGTGGATGTGGTTGATCTCTCCCGTTTGTTTACAACAATATATATATATATCTTACCCCATACTTAATAGATGTTGGAGATCTTTCTATATCAGCACAAATAGATTTATCTCATTCCTTTTCAGCATTGCATAGATACCCATAGAATTTATTTTATACAATTGATTTGGATGGTTCTTTACTGAAAGACGTTTATATCGTTAGCCTTTTGCTATTTTCAAACTATGCTACAAGTAACATTCTTAAATGTAGCTAGATCTTTATAGAGATGTTCGTATCTGTAGGGTACATTTCTGCAGCACGACCTCTAGGTGGCGCAAATGGCTCGGCATTAGTAGATTGTACTCACCAACGGTGCCTGAAAGAAACGCCTGTGATCTATAAAACGGCAGGGGAAAAAGGCCTGTGAGCTGTTTTTATAAAGATTACAGTCAATAACCCCCAAGAGTGTTCTGTAGCACATGATATTGAAGTAAAAGTAGACATTTTGACAGCCCAGCCCCATTTTGACAGCCCAGCCCCACTCCCACGTACAACGAGAATGCTCCACTCTCCGCACCTTTGTGCTTGCCAAGATGCGCGTGTGCAGAGGGTCGTTGGAGGGCCTGTGAGTTAGGCACTGGATTGCTAACTATCAGGACAGCTGTTCACACCCAACAACCTGCTCTGCAGGCTCACTATGCGCTGTAAGCCACTCGGTGGCGGTGGGGCAGATTATAGCTAGTGCAAACTTTCTTTTAATTATGAAACAGCATATTTATTTTGTTACTGGTTTATATACTTTTTAACAATTTTATTGGCATATAACATACCGTACAGTTGCAAAGTTCAATCGCATCAAGAAGAGTTGTACAAGTATCACCCCGGTCTGTTTTAGA